CAGTGGTATCATCTATCCAAACCCTACAATGACAACCTTCCAGAACTCCAAATGTCATACAAATAAGCACAAAAACAAGTCCCATCACCTCTTCTTCACTGCATCCTCCATGCGCCTGATAAGAGTCTTCAATCCAACGCCCTTCTCACAGTTGTTCTCAAGATACTCTTCCATCTTCTCCCTCACCTCCTTCATACCCTTCAGTACCGGCAATTTGTTCCCCTCTTCACCCTCAAGGTGCATGAGTGGGTTCAACAGCAAATCAAGGCATGAGTGCCAGATATCAGTCTGCCAATATCGTTTCAAGCTTTCCTTGATCTTGTACGTCTTCGTCGCTCCGGCACCAAGAGTAGCGCCACGCTCAGCGATCGTGGATATGTACTTGCCAAATAAGAGGTTGTGAACAATTCCAGCGAGACCGTGGTAGTCGATCTGGTAGGTCCACGGGCGAAGTTCGCGCATCTCGGCGCAGTCGGCTTCGGTAGTGGGCCAATCTGCGATGAACTGGACGTCTGGCTTGAAGGCCTTCATGTCGATACCGCGACCAAAGTCGATGAGTGAGACACCCTTCGCAGACCAGCCGTCACGCCCATCGCGCTTGTACTCTGAATCCCAATGCTCATCTTTTTGCAACCCATCAAAGCGGACGAGGATGTTGTCGCTTTTGAGGTCGCCGTGGACTACACCCTTTGAGTGAAGCGCCTCGACTGTGCGGAACAATTCGACAGTAAAGAACATCGCAAGCTGCTCATCCATGACACCGTTGTCTCCCCTTGATAAGTTCACCAGATCGAGCAGCGTTCCCTGATCTCTAAATTCTTCGACGAGATAGCATTCATCTTTGAAGACATGCATCTCGTACGCGTGAACAATCGAATCAGCCGCTCGAGATACACCCAGCCGTCGCTTGGCTTGTCGCATGATGTAGAATTCCCACGGTGTTGGTGGATCTTCCATCTTGATAGCCTCCAGATTCTTGCGCTTCAGGCCGAATTCGCCCTTTCCCATCTGCGAAGGTTTGTTCTCATCATCATCCTCTTCGGGGTCTCGACTTTCAACCAGGTACACTGGAGCAAAAGCACCCTTACCAAGCTCGCGTTTGACAGCGTATGTCCGCTGAGTTGTGGGAAACTTCAAAGTAGGACAGACTGCAAGGTTGGCCGTCTTGTCGTTCGCGCCCTTGCCCGATTTCAGAGCCTTGGTATACTTGCGGATGTCGGCTCCTTTTCCGTAGCTCTCTTCGGTGTCTGCGTAGTAGCCATCGTAGCTATCGAGCGGTGGCTGGATTTCTTGTAGGATGACCTTGCGGATGTTCTCGTCGACTGGATTGCACTGTGCATCCTGAATAATTGGACCATTCGGCTTTACTGGTTTTGGCGCGACATCTTTCGCAGCCAATGGCTTCCGTTGCGGTTCGGCGATGGGCTCTTTAGGTACTGGTTTCGATTCTGTTAGGGCGAGCTTCGCAACTTTCCCTGAGCCATCAATAACCTGACTCAGGATATCTGAAAAGGCGCTACCGCAAGTATCATCATCGTCGTCGTCATCTTCAAGGATATCAGTGGTACCTTTCGATCGTGATGGTGTCTTGGTCGCAGGAGTAAAGTAGTCCTTGTTTGCATAAGCGGTGGCGATGCCTAGGGATGATTCCGTCTTCTCGACAATAGGCGTCATGAACGGCAGACGGTTATTAGCAGCCTGGGCCGGGTCTCGGTAGGGCTGCATAGCTGGAACGTAGTCTTCCGGTGGAACGGGAACGAAGCGGGTAGGTAGCGATGTGGGCGCTGAGGGCGAGGTCGGAGTTACGACGTCAGAATCTTGCTGTTGTTCCACGTCGACATCTGCGCGTGTTACTTCGTTAAAAGAATCGTTCTGAGACTGATCAGATTGCTCAGACTCATCATCTGATTCATCCTCTTGACCATCCTTGGGCACGTGCTTGCTCTCAGTAAAGTCAGACCACGCAGAAGCACTCTTGGTATCTGAAGCGTCGGAATCGCTTTCATCCTCAGCGTCAACATCCAGCACCCTGGTGCCGAGTGTGAAATCGCCAGCTGTTGTCTCATCCCCAAACTCGCTCGTAGCGCCGGATATGCGACCGGTTGCCGTACTTTCGGCACCACTCGTGTAGTCGTCCTCATCGTCACCGCTGCTTTCATCACCACTCTGATTCTCGGAAGTGTTCTCGTCGGCGTTCTTCAGTGGCTCGTTGAATATGTCGTAGATCTCGTCCATTGCTTCCTTGGTGTGGAGGGTCATTGTGGTCTCCGGGCCTGTCTTCTTTCGCCGGATTTTGGGCTTCGCTGGAGAATCTAGGTTGGCTTGGACTAAGACATGTTAGTACGTACGTGACAGTCTCATATACAATCAAACACTCACTTGTCTGAGTCTCTCCGCGAACTTCTTTGACTTCCATGACCTTGATTTTCCTAGTCCTGTTGGCACGCTCCTCTCGTCTCGCCTTCTTAGCAGCCCGTGCCTTGTCTACATCTGCTTGTGAAGGCGGCGCATTTTCGTCGTTGTTCATGTCATCATCAACGCTGCCTTTTAGAGGCACGGTCTTGGGCTGAGGAGGCTGTTCGTAATCCTGTTTGGGCGCTAGAGGCGCGGCCTTTGGCTTTAGTCTTGCGGCAGCTTCTGCCTCCTCGGCCGCTTTCCTTGCCTGCTTCTGTTCCTTGCGGCGGATAGCATCCCAATCGTGGTCCATCCATCCCCTGTATTTAGCTCGAAGTTCCTCAAATGAGTATTCCTCTGACATCGGATCTTCATGGTTAGGGTACACCTGCTCCAAATCTACAAAGACTACCTCAAGCCTGCCTGTTCTTGGATTTACTGCTTGCTGATGTTCACGCAATGGATGGGGGCTGACATTCTCGTCATTGGGATTTGATTTGGTCTGAATACATGTATGGCAAACGCCCACCAATTAGTCCTGTGATCGTAAATATATGAAGGGGCTGATGTAGGCAAATCAACTCACCTCATCCTTGAAGATTGACATCTTTGGCACGCCCGTGTTCTTCTTTCCGACCTTCAGAGTCTCACCAGCCCAAGGGCGCGCTTCCGTTGCGTTCTCCTTCTTGCGGTCTGCGAGCGATCCAATGCTATCCCATCCTTCCATGCTACCAGTCGACCCGGGTCTCGCGGCATCGTCGCCATCGGAAAAGATGGCAAGCTTAGCCTTCCCCGAGCGAGAAGCGCCTCCGGCAGGTTTTGGCGCACTTTGTGGTTGTGGGCTCGGCGCACTCGGCGATGCATGCGCAAAGGGGTCCATCTTAGCGGCGAGGGCTGGACGGACGGCGGGGAGTGCGGGGCTTGAAGGCTCGGGAACCTCTTGCGGGCGGCTCTCGAGACGATGCTGGAATTCTCCGTACTTGCGAATCAGGCGCTCGACTGGACGGGCCTCGCGGTCGATGCCCAGGTTGTATATCTCCTCTGCTTGTGTGAAGCGACCCGCACCTTCTAACCAGGCCGCGAATTCTTCGTAGAATAGCGCAAGGTTCTCGCCGATGCTGTGTCGCGCAAGGTATGCGAATGTCTCGCGCGGCGCATCTGAGAAGAGATGGATGTAGTGCAGCCACAGCTTGAGGTAGCGGGCGTCGTTCTTGTACTGCGGCGAGGATTGGAAGGCTTTGGTTGCGCGCTCGAGCAGAGGGCAGAGTTGCGATTGAGGTGTGTTTTGTGCCGAGGGGTACGAGTCGAGTGTCCATTTGACATAACGGTCGTAAACATCTAATGGGTCGTCCGAGTCGTCAATCGCCATGAGCTCCTTCTCGAACTTGAGGCGGGCTGCGCTGTTCGCATCCTGCATCTGCGAAGGGGATAGCGTCTGACCAGCGCCAGAAGTAAGTGGTGGCGTGTATAGCTGCGCGAGTGCTTTGGCGGAGCGGCCGCTGGGGATGCTCTGGATGTTTTCCTTCTGGCCTTCAATCACCTCGAAGTCGGTAACGTCGTCGGAAGCCATGGCGCCGGGTGGGGGGTATCACAAAGAAAGAAGAAGAAAAAGGAGGGTATCAGAAACACAGGTACAGTGCCTGCTGTCGTTGTTGCTGCAAGCGGATGTGTACACCAACTCAGGGTACGCGGGGTTTGCATGTGGGATGATACGCTAGAACGCGCTTTGTCCTCTCCTGTCCTGGCCGTATCGTTGCCCCGACAACAGTGCGCCGCCACCACGTTGGACACAATGTATTGTATGAGACGCTTCAACCGCAACTGAGTTACTAAGCACTCACAGGCGTATCTTATCATCGCCTCCTAGAACCTCCCATCTAAGGCCAGTCCTTCCTTGAGACGGCGAGTTTCTCTACAAGACTACTCCCTCAAGACAAGCAACCACGTCGGCTTCTTCTCCTAACAATGTTGCTGCGCTTGTTATCGCCATCGATTGCAGAAGCAGCTAAATCTACAACTAGACTTCATTCTCTTGAAATATTCGAGAGTAGCACCAGGGTCGCTCCTGCCTCGTTCTGGCATGCGAGTACAAGTCCCACTAATACACCTCACCGCACCAGCTTCACAACCTTTCTCAACCTTTTTTCTCACGCACACCCCCCCCCCTCAGTCTTCGTTCTATATATATATCTCAGCACTCGTTCACTATGTCTTTCTCTCAGCTCCGTTCTCGCGCTCAATTCTTAACACTCGGAACAATGCCACCACAAAACGACCGATCAATCAACCAGGCATCCGCCAATTCTGTACTGCAGGTTCATCAGACTCACATACGCCGCCAGTTGCAAGCTCTGCCGCGACTTCAGCCCCGCCAATCCCAACCACTTCCCTCGCAGCATCCATAGTAGCTGCAACACCAGAGCGCTCAACCGCCTAGGCATTAGAAGGCTGTATTGTTCCACACCTAAACCTATCTATCCAAGTACACCACTTGTCCATTCCTTGTCTACTAGAGACGCCTGCCAACCTTGATATACACTATTATCCTTCAACCTCCTTGCTACTACCCTTTAACTTCTCTGCTATTATTATCCAACCTATCCAACCTATCCAACCAAATCTTCCTCTCCCTCTTCCTCTTCCTCTGCAAATGTGTCTACCCTCATCTCAATCTCACTCTTTCCCCGTGTACGCAGTAGTTCCAATGCGTATGCGAGCTGCTCGCTCTTCGTGATCGCAATCTGTTGATTCCCAGTCAAAATGTGCTTGAAAGTAATGAGGCTATTAGCGGGGTATTCGAATGACTCCTTCCTCCGCCTAAGGACCGCCGCGAACCTGGTGAGACTGACTTTGACGGGGTCCAGATCGCTCATGTCGCCCAGTTCCGGCTGGTCATTCTTATCGAGTAGATCCATGACACGGACGATGGAAGCCTCATCGCCATTGTTGACAATGCGGATGCTAACATGTTTGTATAGGGTGGACGGAATCTTCTTCTTTCGCGAGAGATCGACTTGTCAAAATAACATAATCGCCTGTCTCTAGGCATCTGTCGCAGTAGGTCACAAGAAAGCATACTAGGTCATAATCATCTGAGAAAGCATATACAAGCATGTTAAGAATGTCCAAGGACAACTATTGACCCTTCCAGCTTCTACCCATTACCAATGTTCATCATCAGTGACCCGTCCCGCCAAAAACAGCACGACAGCACATCCTAATAGACAGAGTCATCATGTAGAAAAAGAAATTGATCCTGACAAAAAACTCCAGACTCCCGCTGTTCGATTTGGTATATCCCTAAAACGAAAGCAAAAACGTCATATGCACAAAGGCAAGCAAAACAAAGGGAAAATGACATATGCCGGATCGGGGTATCCCAAGGAAGTTCGAGCAGAAGCTCCGATTGGTATCATATGGAAAGCGACAACAAGGGCCCTCACCTGGTCGGCGATATCTGAAGTGAAGGCAAGGGAAACAAAGCAAAAGACCGAGAGATTGTCATGCGGAACTGGGAGTAAAACACCAGACATGTGTATCATTGCGTAAATCATAGGAGATTCGTTATTGTTCTTCGAGGTCGTGACATCGTGGGTGTGCTTTGAAAAACTCGACGTAAATTGATGATGGCGATGTGTGATGTAAAGGCGGTGAGGAAGCAATCAGCTGACCTAACCTAAGAGCGGTTCTCCACGGCTTGCTCGCCAGTGGCGACAGCAACAAGCGCTTCCAAGCGACGCATATCATTGTTGGCTGTCTGCTGCGGTAGCGGCTGACCGAACGTTGCGGGTCCCCGCTCGGGTTCTCGTTGCGGTCGATAACTTGAGCTCGAGTTGGAGAGGCTGTGGCTATGATAATGGTGTGGTTGCGATTGTAATGGATGCGGCCTTTCCATAATTGATGCTTGCGACTTGTAATCTTCGACGACTGGCGTTTCGACGTATCCATTGCTGCCCACGATGTTTGGATGATGTTCCCAAATCGTCCCTGGAGTGGGAACGCCTTCACTACTGCTACTATCTTCAGGTGACGTTCTCTGCATAGCTCTTTGTGGTTGACTGACAGGTCCGTTATACCATGCCTGTCGCTTGTTCTTTCGGGGCGTCGTAGGCTGTTCTTGCGAAGTCCTGGGCGAAGCGTTGATGGAAGGGATCTGGATTGGCTGAACGTTAGAAGGTTGCCGACTAAAGTACCCATGAGCGGTCGTAGGGCGTGTAGCATTCGCTCGTCCGGCACTGCCAGGGTAGGGTTGCGACCATTGTGGTTCTCTCTGAGAACTTGGGCCAGCAATGTTCAGACGGTCAATTTCCCAAGAAATACTAGTTCTTTTGTGGTGACCCCTATGAGGCGGAGGCGGGTGCTCCATCGGCGCGTGATATGTCAATGGACGAGCTGGGGCGTCTACTTGCATTGGACTTGGCTGGCGTCGAGGAAGTGGAGGGGGTGCATGGTCGAAGCTTTCAATTCCCGGAAGACGGGTAGTTTGAGAAGCGGCCGGAATTGAAGTAAACGTGGGCCGATCCGCGTCTGGCGTCTGGTGATAACCAAGCCCACTGGTCGCTGGGCGAGGCCCAGTATGCCCCCAAGTTCCTGGATGCCACGTACGTCGCCTCCAGTCCGCATCTGCGTTTGAATCTCTCCTCGACTCTGAGAATTGAGATGCTGTTGGGCTCGCATATGCGCTGCTTTGGGCTGAATAGCCGGGTGCGGTAGTCGACTGCAGAGGCGTGATGTACGTAGAAGGACCCTGTCCTGGTGGACCAGAGAAAGGATTACCACTGGACGAGATGGACTCTCGACGTCCTGGAAGGGGTGGTCCGGCCCATGAGACTGGCCTGGACGAAGACGAAACCGGAGACTGTATAGTGGACCCGTAGCGAGCGGGGCTGCCAGTAACTGTCGAGAAGGTAGCGGATGTGGGCGTTGTAGGCGCGTTGGACTGCGTGTCATACTCGACAGGCCCAGGAGAGCCCATCATCGGTGGGTCATACGCGTTCATGGTATTTAGTGACAGGCGAGCCCTCGCGCTAGCACCACCATCACTAGCCATGGCCAAAGGTGGTGGCCTACGTCGAATGTCGGGAGAAGGTGCCGCGCTCATGGTCGAAGCGGTAGAGATTATGCTTGAAGCTGAGAGGTTTCTGCTGTGGCCTCTGCTATGGCCACCTGTGCTGCCTAGTGTGTTCGCTCGAGATCGGTTTCCAGGTGGTCTTACTCTGTCGGTCCGGATCTGCCTTTGGAACCTCGTACCCGTTGCAGCTAGCGATTCCGAAGGTATGTCTTCGTTGACGTGAACTGTTTGGGCATGTTGTCGGAGGTTGTCGAGTCGCGAGAATCGCCGGGAACAGTGACATTGGAAGGGTCTTTCACCAGTATGCTTACTGCAGTGTGTTAGCAATGTAGCGTGCCGCATAGTGAACTACGTACCGAATGTGTCGTGCCAGATGCTCACTTCTCGTGAAGCTTAGATTGCACGGCGGAAAGTCGGTACAAAAGAAGCGTTGTCCTTTCTTCTTTTTAGACGGCCGGTTGGAATCGCTGGTTACGCTATCGTTGTCCGATCCGTCTTTCTCGTCATCATCCCCATCACCCATATGCACGTCTTGTCCCGAGGTTGTTGGCCTATGCGAGTCCTCTCTACTTTGTTCGCTCTTGTTCGAAGCTGAAGGTGTCTCGCTCAGCTCGCGGCCGGGTGTAAACGGCGACGAGGGTAGTGGTCGCTGACCAACAAGTCCCGCAAAGGTGTTGCGTGTAGGTGTCTTAGCCGATGGGTCTTCGGCGCGGATCTCTTCGGTCGCTTTCGATTCGGCAAAGAACCTGCTGTTCGGTCGAGGAGTAGTCGGCGTCGTCTCGTCACCCGGGCGGCCCTGTGGCGCATCTGGGACCGACAATGTGGTGTTGACTGCTTGGAAAGTAGACATGTTGGAAGAGGCGGTGACCAGCAGTCTAACGATAGCCACCTCTTGTTCCGTGTCGTGCTGAGTGAGCCGCGCAAGTCTGCGGAGACGAGCGCGTATAGCTTACAACCTGCACGAGGGAGCTCGCTTTGGTAGCGCCGGTGATGTAAGACTGGAGAGTTAATGCAGGCGCAGGTCCCAGGCGGGTTGCCTCGAGCGGCGCAATCAGTATGATACTGCGGGTGGTCCCTTCCTGGAGCGGATGTGGGAAGGCTGAAACGATATGATGACGAATAGAGGGCGGCGTTGCAACAACATCCGGAGTCAGCGCCCAGCGAGCAAGGTCAAACAAAATCTACGAGGTCGTGTTAAATTCGATCGTTGCGTCGTAAAATCGTCAAGTTGGTGTCGCCCAAAGGTGTACCAGTGGTGAGGGTTGAGCAACCACGGATACTCGGACTTTGGGCTGGGTGTATGATAAGGCGCGGGATGGGATGCCTCAGGTGGCGGGGAGATTGGCCCCTCTTTGACGCAAGACTCGATGCGCACAAGGGCTCGAGTAGGAGCGGCAGGATGCGGCTCTTGTGGCGATGCAGCTAGACTGTGCAAGACCCGGGTATGAAGGCAGAGGAGCAGGTGTCGATGCAGGAGAGCGGGATTAGAACGAACTCACGATTGCGTCGCAAATGCACGAGGAGGGGTTGGTAAGGCACAGGACGGGATCTTAGCGGCTTTGTCGTGCGCCCTGGACGGACGGCCTGGCAGAAGGCTGGGGTTAGAGTCCGATCCACCTTGCGACGAAGGCACATCTTGCCTGCAGATCCTTGGAATTAGCGATGCTTGGCCCGCCGACCCAGACATGATGAAGAGGTGCAGCTGAGCCCCAGAGCATGCTCGTCCGCCTGTCAGACCACAGTACGTCTGCAACCTGACGAGCAGCGCGCATCTGCCGTCAAGCAATCGGCCTGGCTGCAGGACATGGCATCATATTGTGCGGCGGGGCACTGGGCAGCACTGCCTGTTTCCGGTTGCTAACAACGGTCATGGCACATGCTTGCAGCGATGGGTCAAGAACCTGACTATTCGCTCTAGGTCGTGCGTTATGGCCGGGACCTGAGCACGCTGGATATTGATGACGAAACACCTACCAACGCCCGCTGCCGTTTCACGTGTTATCAGATAGATCGGGACCATGATGGCTGGCTATGCCATGGACGCGCCGGCGCGTTTGGCCAGTCCCTCAAGGCAAGTTGCGCGCCTGGGAGAAGACAGCCATAAGCAGACGAGCATGGCGTCGGCCGCCTGGCGAAGCTGACAGTGCCATGCCCAAGTAATTGGTTGACGCGGATAGTCGCTGCAAGCTAGCAGCGTGGGCGAGCGCCGATGCAAGGGGACTCGACCAGATCCACAAAAAGTGTTGTACCTTTGTACCTTGCCGAAGCGAAAGGCTAGCATCCGTGGTTCTGCCGGACTTCAGCGACTCAAATTTTGCGTCTTTGCAGCGCGAAAGGCGCCAGGCGGCTGTTGAACGAGGCGGTCAGAGACGGTAGTCTGTCCCCTGGCGTTGCCTGGCGTTGGGCTTTGAGCGGTGCGTGACAGTTTGTCGCCATCACACTCTATAGCTCGGAAGCGCTGACAGAAAGGCGGAGGACCCAGTGGCCCGACTAGTTCCTGGCAAGCAGTGTATGATTCGAGGGAATCTGGCGGACAGACGCGGGATGATACCATGGATCGCGAATATCGTGGTCATCTGCGCGGTGCGCCTCGTTGCGTCGTCTGTACCGTACTTTGTCCCTTGTATGCTTCAAGATTCCGCTTCCGGTGCCTAAACGAGACGCAATATTGCTATTGACACGTTGCGTAGGCGCATCCCCACACGAGGATCGTGCGCCGTGCCTACAAAGAAAACACTCGTCCTTCCTGCAGCGGCAGCTGGAGGATTGGTGAAACACATAGTGTATGCAGGCCTACATGTTCAAAATAGTAGCTTTACCGAATCATGCGGGCTTGAGTTAGCGGGCGAGCCAGATGTCTGGACGCATTTGTCGCCAGCGGTGGCGTTGGTGTTGAGGGAGCCGTGCATTACTCGCGCTCATGGTCAGGTTAGCGATAGTGGAGTCAACGCTCGGAACGTGCCTGTGCCTGCCTGCAGCCGTGTGATAGCCCGTGCGCGAAGCGCGAAGACCGAGGTATGACTCTTATCGATTATCGAGCAACTCAAGATGCACACGGGGAAAGCCTGTCTTGCATACACGTTAACCGCAGGCCCCTCCTCAGTACTCGCACAACAGCTTAGCACTACGTTTCATCGCCATGCATTGACGCCGTGTGGCAATGACGGGCAGCTGCCTCGCCGCACAACTGTGGTACATTGACACAGCCGAGGTGGCCAAGAACAAACAGATGGAAGCTGGTATCACATTGCTGCTGTATAAGTCACGATTCGCTTGGTGCGACTCCCAGTCATCACTCCACCGCCCAAGCAATGCTGATTTCTTCTTCGGATCTTGCGCCAATGCGGTATTGACCCGCCCAATCCACACCGCCTAATGAACAAGTGCCTAAATCTATCCGATGCTTACTGCACAACCTAGGTGGAACGTCAGTCTTCTCTTCGGGCAGGCAGCTGACTCATTGATATACCTTTTCTCGGAGTTTGCTGATCCATTGGACGATGCTTTCACCCTGGTCTGCCCGGTCTTCGACAAGGAGGGTCTGTGTCCATAGCTTAAGGGCTGGGTCGCCGTCTTCCTTGATAATGTACAGCGTAGGTAGGGTGATTGAGCCTACACCCTTCGACTTGTGATCTCTCGATTTCTCGACGACTATCTTATATCAGCAATCTGACTGTATAAATCATCAGTAATGTCAACTCACCTGCTCGCACTCGCTCGGAGTATTCATTGTCTAGAAGAGGTAATGAGGCTTTGCCCTGTTTCAACTGTGTGCGGTCTTCGACGCCAAATACATCATTCAGGAGCGCGGGGACAGCATCTCGGCCAATCCACCTAGTCACGTTAGCCCTATATCGATACAGACTCTGCGCTTGTACTTACAAGAACTGGTTCACACCGTCGTCCAGGAGGTACAGACCGTAAGGCACGATGGCTGCACTGGAAAGGTTTAATGCAGGTGGCATTGTGATCTGTCCAGTGGTAGGTTCCGGTACACCAGCATCATCAGGCATATCGTGGAGTGAGTAGAAAGACGGGTAGATGTACTGCGTAAGTAGGCGCAATGGCAGTGTAGAGAGGAGGTCAAGAGCTGCGGAACGGAGATCACTCGGGATTTGAGCGCTCTTGCGAAGACCAACGTTCTTGATGAGTCCCAAGAACAGTATGGGGAGAGCGCGAAGGTTTTGCGGTAGTTGTAGTCCTCCACCGCCCATGCTGCCGCCTGCCAACTCCTTGCGATAAGTTGAGAGTATCTCGATGATCTTGGCCTGTAACGCGTCTCGTGCTGCGTCAAGACCGCTCGACAATGCTCGCTCAACTGCCTTGTGACTGAAGTAGGTAGTGATCGCTTGCGCGTCTGCTGATGCATAGACTGACGCCAGGCTCTCAGTCGTAGGCACAGCAAGAGTCAGAACCCTGATACGGCGCTGACCACTTGAGGTAGTGTGAAGCACAGCGGCCTGGAGACAGGCGAATGGCTTGGAAATTGTTTCGTCGATGGCGACCTCGATCACTACAGCTTGATCTCTGGGGTATGCCGGGAAGGCGCAGAGGTCAGATGAGCGGTTGAAGAAGTTTCCGTAGAATGCAGACATCCTCAATCCGGTGGTAGCGCGCACTCGGAGAACGGCCTCTAGACCGATCTCAGCAGACAGATAGTCAGCCAGCTCGGTTGCAATCTTGACGACATCCTCTTGTCTTGCCGCGTTCCATCCAGGGTAAAAGTATGTCTGACCGGCAGTGAATCGCGGAAGGTTGCTCAGAGTCGCAACATCTTGGTACTGCGAGGAGAAAAGGAACATATCCACCGACACCTGGTTCTTAGAGCATTCTACCGCGAACGACTTGTACCAGTTATTGGCAGGCTGCAATAAACTGCCTTCCTTTCCGGTGCCCAGTAGCGACTTGTCTTCTCGAGGGCTCAATGCTGCATGACCAACATTGGGTAGCGATGCGGCAATGACAGTCAACTTTCCTCCGAGTGGGGAAATGAGCTTATGTGCGGATCGGAGAGCTGAGCCCAGCGCAAAGCCAGGGACGTGTGTGTTTTGGAACATGGTCGGGAGGCGGTCAAGGAACGTCTCGATGTTGTTGCGGCATTGACTGAGGCTGACCAGGAGGTCCGAAGGCATGGGAAGGTAGGGCTCATCGAGGTCGGAAACTACAAGCTGTTGTGGTTCATTGGATTCGCTGTTGTCAGGAGGAATGCCGAAGAAGTGCAAGCCGTTGTCGACCGCCTGGTACATAGTTAGCTTACGCACCATGTGCTTTCAGGAAGCGCGTTGCTTACCATGAATCCAATGCGTGTCCGACCGTCTGCGTTTGGTATCCGACCGAGCGACTCCTTGATGACCCTCGAGACGACGGCGAGCAATCCGCTGTTGACAGCGCCTTGTGTGCAATCCAGCAGGATGTAGTAGCATAGAGGCTGTGGAGGGCGGACCTGCAGAGATAGAGGTACGAAGTCAGCATTTGTCTCACATGCACTTCGTACAGCCAGTACTAACCATGTACTCCTGAGGCGCAACAAACTCGGTCACGGCATAGTTGAGCTCGGGTCTCTGCCAGCGGTCCACGCTCTTCTGCTGTGCTGCATCCCAATCGAATGCCTGAGGAACGTCGTTGGTCAGGTTGCACATGTTGCACCTCCACCTGTGTCCATGGTCCAAGAATGAGACAAATGGATTGATGTAGGCGCGGCAGCGTCGACAACGGCTAATGACCTGGTCGTGCACTACTGGCACAGGGTCCTCCGAGTCGTGCAAGCTCGCATATGGGCTTATAATGAGGGCGAAGGGAAGCTTGCTCTTCTTGAGTAGCGAGTGGTTGGTGGGGATGGTGTTGAGCGTA